TTTTCTGCAACGGTACTCTTTCGTTTTCATGGCTGCAAAATACAGCTAATCGCTGTCTCTACACGACACGACCTAGCCATAATACCAACATGAAATTTTTTGGTTGGTATTCAATCGATCTTTCTCCCATTTCCGTGTAGAATTCCTTCATGTGACCGATTTGCTCAATGATTGTTGGATTTTGTTTTTTTTTTTGTTTTTGCCTGGGCTAAGGTAGGTTTAGAGAGGGTGATGAGGATCTGTGGCCACAGGTGTGCCTAGATAGTCATCGTACTGAAGGAAGAGGATCGATTCTAAGCTTCTTGGACCTTGCACCAAATGTTGTGGTGGGAATTGAGAGTGGAGATAACCTCTTAATTAAACGGTCTAAAGTTGGGATCATGGTTGCTATTGTATAAGGTATTAAGACATTAAATTATATGTCATGCATACGTGTTTCGTGACATACTTAAACGTTTTTATTAGATAGTTGGATCGAGTGTTATGAGTTGGATTTCTAACGTGTTTGGCTTTTCTTCTTGTATTAGACCTAACGAAACAACCGAGAGTTATATGAAAATAGATCTTCCTTTCTCCTCTCTTTCTTTTCACCATGTCGGGCTTTTTCTGCTTTTGCTACATCTGCTACGAGTGATGTTCTCGGCATCGCTTCCGCCATGTCTGCTCCGCCTCCTCCTCCTCCTCCTCATATTGTGGTCAAACTCACCCCCGCAAACTCTCTGCTCTGAAAGATATGCAACTTCATTCCCTTCTCGACAATTATAATATGATGACGGTAAAATATATTGATGATTCTCTCTTTGCTGCCACCTAATAACTTAAATTATTGAGATGAATTGATATAATATCTATTTTCATATATGATTTCTTCATATGATTCAATTGTTGGAATCTCGGTTGGACTGTGATTTATAATTTTAAGATTTTTAAGTATCATCCTTCCATTTCTTTTTTTCTAAATCTAACATTCATAGGGCCCCTAAATGATGATAATGGTGGTGGTACATGTCGTTTGAAAGAGATTAAGTGGTTGCAAACTTAAACTTAATTCTTTGGTAATCTTTCTTCAAACTAATCACATCTGTTTGTGAATGCTAGCTAGATTGATGGGCCTTGTTTTTTGTTTGTGTTGAATGAAGAGAGAATAAGACATGGAGTCATTAAGAAATTTGCAGAGTACTTTCAGCCTTATATCATGTGTGCATGTCAGTGGTGCGCCCTCCTGCTTGCTGGCTGGCTGGCTATTGGAAAACAAAAGAAATTATCAAAAATACATATACATGTATTTAATTTCCTAACCTTCACTACTAATGCAAAAAAATGTATGTGCCACTTGGATATGAATATGTATATGGAGTATGGAATTCATTGGCATCAAATTCAAGGGTCTCAGCCTAAGCCTCGTAACCAATAGCACTCGCTTCATCAGCATGGAATTTCGCACAAGGTTATCTCACAAATGTGCACATTATTATGTACGTACCAACTTACTGTTGATTGCATATAGTGCTCTTTTTATAACAAGTGAAAGTTGTGAATCTTGGTGGTGGGATCGAGGAGTTTGGACTCGATCTCAAAGTATCTCTCGAATGAGTTAACGTCTTAATTATTTGGGTTACTAAATTGTTAGTATTTTTATTGAGTAGCTACAATTTCTTTAGTTGATGATACAATATTTCTCATCAACGAAAGCTAGCCTAAGACAACAATCCTTCATTTCTATATATCTTTTTTTTACGGTTCTTATTAGTCAATGGGGGGAACTTTCAAAGAAAGTGTAAAGAAACAGCAAAAGACCATTGATCAATTTTCTTTTTCAATATGCCCCAAGCAACTCTGAATATGCAGCTTTCAGAAAGAGGAAAAAAGACAAAAAGAAAAGGGCTATATGAACATTATTAGATTGGGGAAACTGAAAGGCGACTTGATTACACTTTCTACTCTTTTTTTTAAAAAAAAATAACTATATTTTTAATAATTTATTAAATTTTTTACGAGACAGTCCAGTTACTTCTTTGAAAATACAAATACAAAGGAAATGACATTTGTATATAACTGTCCATGCAAGCTAATTTCTTGTGGGGAAGGAAATCGAAAATAAATTCGTGTGGAATTGATTTAAAGCGGACCATATTGTAATAATTGAGTTTCGATTTCGGACGGTTAACGGCAGTAGAGAGTGCAACTAAATTTAGAAACTAGACATTCTTGTGCCACTATACACAAGCAATATCTCTTCATAATTCCTTGTCCATGTTGCTATCATGGAAGCTAGAGAAAGCCCAAAAGAAAAACCCCTCTCCATTGCCTAAGCTTTTCTTCCTTTTCTTTCCCTCTCCTTTTTTTAGGTCACTTTTCCAGTCCCACTAGCTAGGGTTCTTAAGGCAAGCTGCATCCCTAGCTACATATACAAACACCCAGCAGCATAGAAAGGAGGGAGAGGCTAAATTTGTGGTCTTTCTTTCTGCATATACATGGAATGAGAAAATGTGAGTGTATAGTGGAACCATTGCACGCTTCTGTCGATCCCTTTGTCTTTCACTCACTCCCTCTATTCCCATCATTGAAGATTAAAAGGGTGAAAGAAGAAAAGAAGTGGCCTAGAAGTTCAATTTGATCCCTAAACTTTCTCATTTCCGACATTTCGGTACACGAATTCTGAACTTCGGGGGGGCAATAATAGATCATTCACTTACGAGCATGTTAAGACCACAAAGCGATATGATTGGTGAGAATCGTTCTACGTTCTAATTAAGATTACTAACATACATGTCTACGAAAGACGACAATGTTCAGCTGTTTCAAGTATCCCAATGGCTAAACTCGAAAGTTCATGGACCGGAACGATATGGAATGAAAAGAAAAGGGGGTTCAAAATGACCTTCAAAGAACAGCATAATTGAGGGGTGGGGGGTCCTTGTTGTCACCAGGCCAGCAAATGGGTCTTTTCCCTTTTTTTTGAGTTGGTTGCAGATTTGGGACAAAATCATGAAAGTTGAACCCATCAGCTCCCCCAACTGTGGCTTCTTCCCCTGTTTCTGAATAAAAGCCAGCCGTGTTTGGTTTCTGCGGTAATGGAGGTAGTAGCCCCCAGGCCCCAGTTGTTAGACGTACGTTACGTGAGTTTCAGCATGGTGTTGCTGCAGGGCAAGCTGTTAGACCGTAGACCGACCATGACACAATCCACTCTCACTACAATGTGCTCACCTCACCTGACATTGATGATCAATAAGCCATGTACAAAGAGTCAAGTACTCCATTGGTCGAACGTAACGTTCAAGGAAAAATATCTCAAAATGGCTCGAACTTTGACGGACGACTAAGATGTTCTAAACTTAACAGACAACTTAACGTCTTATCTCAATAAACACAAAGAACTAACGACGAGACATGCAAGTCGGTCATGTAACAATGTTATAGATACATACCACCATGTGTCATTGTCATGTCAAAACGGCACTATAACTTTTTATTTTGAACGAAAGTTGGAGCGTCGAGTCTAAATTAAAGGAAGTTTTATTTTTATCTGTATTCTGTTAGCGCTAGTTAAGCCCATCTCTATTGTTAACCACATTGCAACCTCTGAGTGTCACACACTTAGACAAGTTAGGACCTTAGATTGATCAACAGTCTCTCCCCATACTTCCCCACTCAATTGCCAGTAATATCCTGTGACATTGTTAACCACATTGCGTTTAACGGAGCTGGACGGAGGCTAACGGAGAGTGACTGAATGCGACATGTTTCAATAATTCGAGTGACCAAAATTGATATTAATTTTTTCTAGCGACTACACATGACATGATTTAATAATCTCGGTGACTAAATGTGGCATTTACCCTTCATTTATTTATCAATAAATCTAGAAGTCCGTTTATCCTTGGGTTTAGGGTTTTAGGGTTTATGGTTCAGGGTTTACATTCGCCCTAAGAGGGATCTCCATTTGGTAGGGATGGCAATGGGTCGGGTTGGGTCGGGTTTTGCCAAACCCAAACCCATGGGTTTATCCGTGAAAAAAACCCGGGGTAAAACCCACTGGGTTTGAAAAACTCAAACCCAACCCAACCCGCTGGGTATCCGCGGGTTCATGGGTACCCACGGGTTTTTGTCGTAAAAAATTCACAATAACAAATTCCTATCAAAATTAAAGTCAAATATCAATCTCTCAATACAAATTATCCATATATAAAACACCATTCTAGAAAATTCAAGCAAATCACAAATTAACTACACAAATTGTTCAACACCAATCTAGAAAACTCAAGAAAATTGAAGCAAATCACAAATTATCCATAAATAACATGATTAATCGAAACTTCTTCCTTTCAATTAAGTTTTTCACTCTCCACTCAATAACATCAACTTCATTCTACATAACTAGAAAGAAAAAATTAGACATGTCTCCACAAACATAAATAAGATTAGTTGTTTAGAATATTAAATATACCGAGAAAATTAATTATATGGGTGGGCGGGTACCCATGGGTCGGGTTTATCTAAACTCAAACCCAACCCAACCCGATGAATAGTGAACGGGTTTAAACCCAAACCCGACCCAAAACCCGTCAACACGAATTTTACCCGCGTTGACCGGGTTGGGTCGGGTGGGTACCCGTGGGTTCGGATTTTATTGCCATCCCTACCATTTGTGCTTGTGCCTGCTCCTTGTTGAACGTTACAAAGCCCAACATTCTAGTCCAGTCTTTTTTTAGGCGAATTTTCCACACCAAAACACTATAACCTGAAAATTATGTTGACATTCGCCAGCCTGAAAATTTCAGACAACATCAACAAAACAGAAGCCCTACCAATACCTGATGGCTAGGAGATGTTTATGAAAACAAATGCCGTATGGTTCATTCCTTACAGCGACAGATCATCCAACAAAGTAATGGTTTGGTTCAATCTATATAGCGATTGAGCTAGTACAATCGCCATTTTCCAAGTTGCAGAGCCGATTCAGCTTCCACCACCTCCAAACAAAGCAAATGAAGAGAAAAATGGACAAATTGGTGAACTTCCTCCACTTCTTCCGGCTGCCTCTTCTTCTTCTTCTACTACTTGCACTCATATGCTCAATATCGCATCATGGCCATGTCGCAGCCTCCAAATCGACTGTCGAATACCTTCCCGGATTCCAGGGTCGACTCCCATTTTACCTCGAGACCGGGTTAGTATACGTGCTCGAATCGATACAATGTTAAAACTCACAATGAAACGGTCTTATGCATACTGCGCGTGCTGCGGTTTTCAGGTATATAGGAGTTGGGGAAGCTGCAGAGCTGTTCTACTACTTTGTGAAGTCGGAAGGGAATCCTGAAGCCGACCCTCTCCTTCTCTGGCTCACTGGCGGCCCTGGCTGCTCTGGCCTCACCGGTCTTGCCTTGGACATTGGTTAACTAACAACAATAAACCCATATCTTAATGTAGAATTCTTTCTTGGATTTTATCAATCTTGATCGTCAACCAATCGCTCGAGACGATTGCTCTTTCAGGTCCCATCAAATTCAACGAGAGCCTGCCAACTTTGATCCTCAACCCATTTTCCTGGACTAAGGTGAAGTGCTGCAACTCAACACCATTGAGAGATCTGTTGTTACTGTCCTGCTCCGAAAGTTCGTTTCGAAACCTGATGATTTCGCTATCTGCTGCAGTTTTCGAGCATCATTTTTCTGGACTTGCCTGCTGGGACTGGATTCTCTTACACAACAAACCCATCTCTTGCTGATCATCCGAGTGACCATGTTCAAGTTTCTCAAGCTGCAGAGTTCATCAGAAAAGTAAGAATCCTCCTTCTGATGAAAAGGATCATTGGGAAGAAGAGTACAATATTTCATTCGAAATTGTTTTTGGCTTCATAGTGGCTGGGAGAACACTCGGAGTTCCTGCAGAATCCACTGTATATTGCTGGGGATTCCTACGCAGGCATTACTGTTCCACCCATTGTCCAAAGACTTTCCATTGGTAATAACAGGATTATAATTATGTATACATATTGTGGCACCAAATCGAATCACATCGAAAGATTGTTCGCGGGTGTTTCGTTTCTTCTTAGGATCATCATCATCGTACATGGGTTTTTGTGCAGGAAACGAGCGAGGCATCGAGCCAATGTTAAATCTCAAGGTTCGGACATTCAGATCAAAACGTTTTCGATCGGAATTCGAAAATTTTCGATCGAAATCTCAAGGTTCTTTTTTGTTTTGTTTCAGGGGTACATACTTGGGAACCCAGGAACAAGTGGTGAATTCGATAAGAACGCCCGAATCCCATCTGCACATGGAATGGCGCTCATTTCTGATGAACTCTACCAGGTTTTTAATTCATCACACCATCATCTTGCTGCACTCCTCCCATATAAACAGAGAATTTTTCGAGATTTCGAAGTTAAATTAATTACTAGCACTAAAGAGTAAAGAGTAGTCCTCACCCAAAAAATTTGTTGCAGTCACTTCACAAAAGCTGTAAGGGAGAGTACCACATAGTAGATCCTACCAACTTGGAATGTAAGAACAACTTAGAGGCTTTCTATGAGGTAAAAATAAAGCAAGCATGAAAATCTATATATATCATGAACATTTTCTCTGCCCACTTCTTGTTTAGTGAAGAAGGATGTTCCATTTTTCTGCAGTGTCTCTCAGGTATAAACATGTTTAACCCGCTGGATCCACAATGCATTTTACATCAAATGCCAGTGGAGATTGCTGCCCTAAGAAGAAGAAGAAGATTGTTGCAGGACGAGTCTCGACTGTTATCGACCATCGATCCGCCTGAACTCGACTGCAAGGTAGCTACTTATAACTTCCATTGTTAAAAAGTGTTCTGGTGAGTTCCCTTTAATTTCTCCTGACTGAGTATTCAAGTTTGCTTTTGCTAGTATGACATCAATCTACTCTGCAAACATTGGGCCAATGATGAACTAGTCCAGAAAGCGCTTCACATAAGAAAGGTAAGAGTTGCAGTTGCAGGAAGAACTTCCCCAAAACTTCAATGGCTTTCTGCCAATGCTTCTTTGTTGGGTTCTTTTTCCCTTTAGCCATTTGTAGATTACATTGTGTTTGGTGCAGGGGACGATAGGGGAATGGGAGAGATGTAATAGCAGGTGGAACTATGAAAATGACATTCCGAGTAGCTTTGAGTACCATGTCAACCTTTCAACCAAGGGTTATCGTTCATTAATCTACAGGTCCTTCATTTTGCATATCTCTATAGATTTTGGAGATTTTTTTTGTTTTGTTTCTCATAAAGACTAAGAATCTATGGCTGTAAACTCTGGGCTTCTTCGAACAGTGGCGATCACGATATTTTTGTACCATTTGTTGGAACACAAGCCTGGATTCGAGCTCTCAATTACTCCATCATGGAGGATTGGAGATCATGGCACGTTGGAGGCCAAGTTGCAGGGTAATTTATTGATAAATTTTTTAATTTCCTTCCTGACTAACCTTACCTCTGAAATTGCTCTGCTCAAGCCTAGAGGTAGTTATATTGTTTCAGGTATACGAGGACTTATTCTAATGGGATGACCTATGCAACGGTGAAAGTGGGTGTTTCTTTTATCTTAGATTTCTAATTGTCGTTTTTATTAATCGTAATATTTCATATTTGTAACCATCATTTTCTGGTGTCTTAATTCTTAGGGCGGTTCGCATATCCCTCCGACTAACAGGCCCATGGAATGTTATGCTATGTTCCAAAGATGGATAAATCATAAGTCTTTGTAAATAGTTAGCAACCAAAATGTCTTTCGTGCTTCAAAAAGCCTTGTAACCTAATTGTACTATTACAACTGCAGCTATGAAAAAACATGTAATGTGACGGTGTATGAAAGTCATTTTGTGTATCTTATTAGTCGACCTTACTGAAAAGTTATAAGCAAAGCTAAAGTATATCAACTCATGTGTATCTTATTAGTCGACCTTACCGAAAAGTTATAGGCAAAGCTAAAGTATATCAACCCATCATTATAAATCTATGTATCGTCTCGTATGTAGTAAAATTTTACGAGGAATTCTGTAGTACATTTTTATGATGAATTTTACAAAAAAAAAATTGTCATTGGATCACTCTAAAAAAGAGAAACATATAAAGATTTGTAGGCTTACAACAGAAACTTGCCTACTACAAAACAAGCAACAAAGTCGAAGCTCAAACATTCGAGGCGACAAAAACAGAGCAAGAGTGGCGACCAAATGTTTCTAACGGGTTTGATATTTGGGGATTAGAATTTATACGAACAGAATTAGGGATTGAGATTTGAGAAAGAAGAGAAAGATAGAGAATCGGCCGAGGCCTTAGAGGGATAGGGATCGAGAATTGAGAGGATAGGGAGAGATTAGAGTTTCGGAGATTTTCTTAATATTTTTCTTATTGATCCTGAATGATTAGCCCAAGTACATATTTATAGGAAATATAGGAAAACCCTACTAATAAACCTGATTCTACTAGAAGACTACTAATCAGTAATCATAATAAGAATTACCCTATTAATGGTTATAAAACTTATAATAATGAATATAGAAACCCGAGATAAATCGATTTCTAACAAAACCATGGAAAACCAGCTTCCAAACCCAGAAAAATACAAACCTATGGTACCCGCATTAACAACCCGAACAACCTATCCCATGTATTTAGCAAAGACAACAATGGCATCTCTTGTTGTTGTAGCCTCCCAATGATCCAAATGATAATCCTTTAATACCAACCCAGCCAGCAGAGCCATAACCCTGTTTTCCATAGCCGCCACAACAAGTAGGCTACCTGTAGTAAAAAGACATCCGCTTCTTAGTTCTTACCATGTAGCACAAAATAAGGAGTAAGAAACAAACCCAGGAAAATACCTAGTCTCCCAAGGCTGAAGTCGCCCCTGAAGACCGATCAAGCGCCAAAGTCTTGTGCCACCATACAAGTGAAAAACATATGTTCTCATGTCTCCTCGTTGTGTTTGAACGTGGGGTGAAGAGATCCAGGACCCCTATCTTACAACTAAGGCGAGATAAGTAGGGCTGCAGATGAGTCGAACTGCTCGTGTAACATCCCGTTCCGGTAAAATTTAAAATCGAGCGTTTTGACAGTATTTCAGCAAAAATCGGATTATCGATCGATCAGATAAGTATATATATTAATTATATATATAATATATTATATATAATTAATTATATATATAATATTATATATATATATACATATTGAGCGGCCGGGCCGCATATATATTAAGATTTCCCCTCCCCATCCATTTTTCCATCATCATCTTTTCTTCTCATTTTCTGGACCGAGAGATACAGAGCGAGCAGAGAAAGTTCAGGGGACGCGGGTAGAATTTTCCAAAGCTTGATTCTTAAGTTCCAGTAGTCCAAAAATCCTGTAAGGAATGCCTAATTCATCTATACATCGTGATTTATCGTTTTAGAGCTTTAAAACGAGTTTTTGGTTCAGGAATTTTTTGAATTTCCGATAAGCCAAATTAGGGTTTCGGAGTATCCGGAAGCCGGATTGAGCCCAAATTTCATATACGAGCTTCTTGCAGCGAGGTAATCAATCCTCTAGTTCTAATCCCTGAATTTCGGCAATTATTTAGGTCGGGGTCCTAATCGCTTAATTTAGCTCCGGCCAAGGTTTGATGTGTTTTTATCGAGAATTTGACCCGGAGCCTAGAACTAATATTGACGGGGATACTGCAGGGGATATTAGGACGGTCTCGGATTTTAATTCGGGGTTCGTTCGTGAAATTGACGTTTTAGTACGGGAAGGTTAAACCGGTGTTTGAACGACCAGAACTGGTGAGGGATTAGCACGGCATACCGGGTTTGTCGTATCACGATAATTATATTGATGCTTAGAATTGACCTAGGTGAACTAGAATGGCATGATTAGGGGTGTATGAACTTTTGTGCTATATGATGAATCATGGACTACTGTATGATATTATTGACTTGCCCTATCCGATATGGACCTTGTTTATGTTGATGATTGCATACATGTTGTCATTTATGGCTTAACCGTTGATATGACTTCATGGTTGTTCGATCAGGTGTTTTGACATGATGTGATATTGTGGTTGTATTTGGATTCACAAGTGGGGGAAATAAACTTCACAGGGTGACATGATGATGTTTAAGGAGGATGACTTGCACGAGGGTTTATCCCGAGGAAGTGCAATTATACGACTCCTGATTTACCTATGTTGAGCCAAGTATGGCCAGGTCAAGTACATGTGCAAGTAATGAATTATGATTAAGCAAGATGAGATATGAATCATGTATAAGGATACCAAATACGAGTGTTGTGGTCTCACGGTCAACTACAAAGTAATTAGGGCTCCCCATGCTATTACTCCGTTATGATATGTTATGTCACACCCTTGATGTGGTGTTGACCGTTGATTCATCATGAGATATGACCACACCCAGAGTGGTGTTGAGCCCGATATGACCACACCCAGGGTGGTGTCAGGTCCGATATGACTACACCGGCAGTGGTGGGTCCGATATGACCACATCCACGAGATGTTTGGTCCGTATTCCCGGGAGAGTAATTAGCATGGGAGTAGCCAGGCGCCTATAAGTAAAACATGATAAGACGCATATGCATAAGTCAAGGTGGTTGAGTCTTTTGCCTATTGGGATGTCGGATGCCTGAGGTCTGATCCTAGTGTTTTGGCTTGTTTGCTAGATGTATGGTAGGGGTATGCTCTGTTATGAACTCACGATGCTATGATTATCTCACTCAGCTATGAGCTGACCCTCTTTATTCTTCTTCTCTGCTTATGCTATGTGTAAGTAGATCATCAGCAGTAGCAGTAGCAAGTACTTAGGGGTGGGCAGAGCGAGGAGTTGAAGGCAGGATGAGGTATTGTCTTCAACTAATCTGTGCTTGGTCTACTACTCGGGATTTTGGCCAGTGATCCACACCTTTTTGTAAAATATTTTGAGAACGTTTTTCATGTGCATACTAGCTTCTGATGTAGTGTGAGATATCCACAGGTGTGGAAAGTTGATGATATGTGTATATTTGTGTAATTATGTAAGTTGTGACGATTATAGCATGTATCAGTATAGTATGCAGTTGTGTAGTATGAAACTGTGACTATGGCTAAGAAAAGCCAATGGATATGGTTGTGAGTCTATATGTTTGTGATGAATTATTTTGCAGGATAAGTTGCAAGAACTGTTATCCCATTACGCGAGTAATTCATGTCGAAATTTTATTTGGGTAAATTTTGATAATTAATGTAACACCCGAGATTAATTCCGCTGCAATTGTATGAACAATATGATTAGGTAATACGTACAGGGTAGGGTGTTACAGCTCGCGAGCGGCTCGGTGCTCGACTTGAGAAAAACTCATTCGAAACTCGGTTGGTTTACTAACGAGCCGTTGTTGTGCTAAGCCTTTTGTAGCTCGCGGAGCTCGCGAGCTAACTCGACTCGGTGGCTTATTGAGCTCAACTCGTGAGCTGGCTCGTTTAGAGCTCATGAGGTGTCTCAACTATCAATATTGTGGCTAGAGAGCCAACTCGATTACTGACTTATGAGTGAATAGATCTATATAAGTTTCATTTTGATAATTCATAAGATTGTTAAATTATATATCTCACCCCACATGAAGTTTAACACGTAGATTCTGTGAGCAAATATGTCATATTTAATCTTAAAAAAAAATATCATAAATTGCTTCGATATAACAATATAACCTTTCTGCAACAATATAACATACATATATGCTTCTTTATAATCCCTTTCCCAATTCGTCACAAACCACAAAGAGAAAAGGAAAAATGCAAAAGGAAGAGGGATCTTAATACCTGATGGTTTGTAGTTTATGAAAGCAAATGCCGTATGGTTCATTCCCTAAAGTGATGGATCAACCAACAAAGTGATTGGTTGGTTCAATTTTCAATCTATATAGCGATTGATCTTTGATTCCTCCAGCATTGAGCTAGTTGAATCGCCATTTTCCAAGTTGCAGACACGACTCAGCTTCCACCATACCAACCAAAGCTGCTGCTAGACCTAGAAATCACAAACCAGAGAGACATTTCAGTACACACAGAGCAGATGAAGAGAGGGAAAAAAATGGACAAATTAATGAACTGCCTCCGCTTCTTCCTGCTGCCACTTCTTCTTCTGCTTGCACTCATATGTTCGTCGCATCACGGCCATGTTGCAGCCTCCAAAGCAACCGTCGAATACCTTCCTGGATTCCAGGGCCGACTCCCATTTTACCTCGAGACCGGGTTAGTATACGCGTGCTCGAATCGAAGCAATGTTAAAACTCACCACGAAACAGTCTTATATGTACTGTGCCTGCTGTTTTCAGGTATATTGGAGTTGGGGAAGCTGCAGAGCTGTTCTACTACTTTGTGAAGTCAGAAGGGAATCCTGAAGCTGACCCTCTCCTTCTCTGGCTCACCGGCGGCCCTGGCTGCTCTGCCTTCTCTGCTCTTACCATGGAAATTGGTTAACCAAATAACAACCCATCTCCTACTGTAGAATTCTTTTCATGTTTTCAATCTAGACTTTCTACAAATCGCACCAACGATTGCTCTTCAGGTCCCATCAAGTTCCAAGTACCAGTAGCGGGACACAACGGGAGCTTGCCAAATCTGAACCTCAACCCATTTTCCTGGACTAAGGTGAGGTGCTGCAACACAGAAACATTGAGACAGTTGTTAATGTCCTGCTCCGGAGTTCGTTGATTCGCTCATATCGATCGCTCTAATCCGCTGCAGTTTTCGAGCATCATATTTCTGGACTTGCCTGTTGGGACTGGATTCTCTTACACAACAAACCCATCTCCTGATGATCATCCAAGTGACCAGGTTCAAGTTTCTCAAGCTGCAGAGTTCATCAGAAAGGTAAGAAGCCATCTTCTGATGAAATGATCCTTGGAAGGAATACAAAATTTCATTCGATACTTTTCCTTTTTCATTTTGCTTCATAGTGGCTGGGAGAACACTCGGAGTTCCTGCGAAATCCACTGTATATTGCAGGGGATTCCTACTCAGGCATGACTGTTCCACCCATTGTCCAACAATTGTCCATTGGTAAGAACAGGATATATACACAACATATTGTGGCACTAATCCAATCCCAATTCTAGATTTTTAGAGTGTTTCATATATGGATTTTGTGCAGGAAACGAGAAAGGCATCGAGCCGATGTTAAACATCAAGGTTCGAACATTCAAATCATCCACACATTCTTCCTTATACTTCTCCTTGGGATTATTACTCTGGTGAAAATCTTTCTCTCTTCCAGGGCTACATACTTGGAAACCCAGCAACAAGTAGTGAAATTGATAAGAACGCCCGAATCCCATACGCACATGGAATGGCACTCATTTCTGATGAACTCTACAAGGTTGAATTTGTCAATCAACATCTGGTTGGGATGAGGAATCCTCACCCAACATTTCTCACTTATATAAATAGAGAATTAACTGTGAATTTTCAAAACTAAGTACTAGCACTAAGAGTAGTCCACTTGAACTTTGTTGCAGTCACTTCTCAAAAGCTGCAAGGGAGAGTACATCACAGTTGAACCTACCAACTTGGAATGTAAGAACAATCTAAAGGCTTTCTCTGAGGTAAAACCTGTAGTTTGATCATCTTAACTCACCTCAGAACTCAAGATTCTCATCAAGAATCTCTCTGCCCACTTCTCGTTTAGTGAAGAAGAATGTTCTACTTTTCTGCAGTGTGTCTCAGGTATAAACACACTTAGCATACTGTATCCAGAATGCAATTTAGAGCCAGCAAAAATGCCAGTGGAGATTGCTGCCCTAAGAAGAAGAATGTTGCAGGACGATTCTCAGCTGTTATCGACCGTTGATCCGCCTAAGCTCGACTGTAACGTATAACTAATTACATTGTTAAAAGTTCTGTTCTTGTGCCTAGTGTTCTGGTGATCAGTTTCCCTTCTTTTTCTTCCTGAGTATTCAAGTTTGCTCGGCAGGATGACACCAATCTAATGGTCTACAAACATTGGGTCAACGACGAACTCGTCCAGAAAGCGCTTCACATAAGAGAGGTAAAGAGTTGCAGGAAGAATTGTCCCAAAAAAATCCAGGTTTTTCTGGAATGCTTCTCTGTGATCTTTCTCCTCTTAACAATTATGTGTGGTGCAGGGGACGATAGCGGAGTGGAAGGTTTGTAATCGTCGGTCGGATTACGAACATGATATTTCTACCAGTGTAGTGTATCATGTCAACCTTTCAATCAAGGGTTATCGTTCATTGATCTACAGGTCCTTTCTTTTGCCATATCTCTACAGATTTTCTTTATGAGGAAAATTTTGTGTTTCTTGTTAAGACTAAAAGTTCTTGACGCGGTTAACATTTTGATCCTTTGATCAGTGGAGATCACGATATGGTAATACCGTATATTGGAACACAAGCCTGGATTCGAGCTCTCAATTACTCCATCGTGGAGGACTGGAGATCATGGCACGTGGAAGGTCAAGTTGCAGGGTAACGTATTAGTACAAGTTTATAATTTCCTTCTTTCCTAATCTAACTGTTGAAATTGCTCTTCTAAAAGGGTAATATATTGTTTCAGGTATACGAGGACGTACTCTAATGGAATGACCTATGCAACTGTGAAAGTGGGTATTTCTTATCTTAAATCTCTAATTATATTTATAGTAACCATAGTATTTCATATTTGTAACCATGATGTTTTGGTATCTTAATACTTAGGGTGGTTCGCATATCGCTCCAACTAACAGGCCCGTGGAATGTTATGCGATGTTCCAACGGTGGATAAATCATAAGTCGTTGTAATCAATTAGCGACCAAAATGTCTTTCCTGCTCAAATAAGCCATGTAAACTAGTCATACCATCACCATTGTAGCTAAGAAAAATCATGTAATGTGAGTGTGTGTGAAAGTAATTTAGTGTATCTTATTAGTGGACCATACCGAAAAGTTATATCCAAAGCTAAAGGACGTGGATCCACCATTACAATGTATCATCTTATTTGTCTACGCTTTCAAGTACAAATTGAATTTGTATTATAATATTTAGAGTAAAAGTTCAGTTTGTACTAAAAAGAAGCTTGTACAAAAAAATACAACCACAAATTAAATTTGTACAATAACAATATTAAGATACATATTATTTTGTACAAAAAGGTACAAGTACAGATACAAACTAAATTTATATCCAAACATTACAAAATTCAAATTCAGTTTATATACATTTTTTGTAACGCAAGCACATCTCCTTTAAGAAATTGTCTCGTCACCATTAGCAACAATATAACATATATATGCCTCTTTAATCTTTATACATTTCCAAATTGGTCACAAACCACAAAGAGAAAAAGAAAATGCATAAGGAAGATCAAAACAAAGATAACCCAAAACCTAATTACATTTTGGGGCCTTATTAGCTCATAAATAAACATCAAAATCAACCACAGAAATGACAAACAAAAATACATAGAGAGAATTTCAATCATCACCTGACGTCACGGCCCAGAGATCCGACCCGTTTTCGGGTCGACCACGCCTCTTTGCATCTCCTCCCCTGTCGCCGCCATCACCATACCCGGATGACCCTGACCGGTCATGACCGCATTCCCACCCATAACCCCGTAATAAACCTGCTGGTTCATCCCATCCGAGACCATCCTCGCTCCTTCATACGGGTCCATAGCCGGTCGCATCGCCCCATAAACCTGACCCATCCCGCCCTGTACCTGCTGACCCATACCCGGTTGCACCTGATGGTACCCGACCCCCTGCATTTGACCCGGCTGAACCGAATACTGCTGGACGTATTGGGGCCGATACTGAACCTGCTGAACCGGAACGTTCCCCTGACCCGGCACGTAGTAAACCGGTATATGCTGGACCGGGGCGGCAGGACCCGAATACTGAGACTCCGGAATGTAATGCATCGCGTACCCGGCCGGCGGCTGCTGCGGCTGCAATTGAGCCTCCGGAATCGGCTCCGACACCTGCCGCCTCGGGTCGACCGGGTCGAGCTTGGTCTTGACCGGGGTCGGCGGGGCGGCGACCGACGAGGTGGAGCAGTACGGCGACGACGAGACGACCGGGGCGGGCGAACCCGGATCCGAGGCCGAAACGCTGTCGTTGAAGATGAATTTGTTCCTCAGCTTCCCCTGCTGCTGATTCTCGTCGGAATTCTCCAATCCGAAGAGGTAATCGGGCACCTCGGAGACGATCGACGACGCCTCGGACCTGCCCCGCTCCAGGGCCCGGCCCGAATTGAGCGCGTCGAGGAACCAGTGCTCCCGATTCGTCGATCCGTCGAGGAGCGAGCTGATGCTGCTGGTTCTAGAACCTTCCAATTCCCCCTTGGGGAAAAGAAAGAGGCGCAATCGCGCCGATCTAGGGTTCTGATTCAGCGCGCCGCGGTCGTACTCCTCCATCATGTTCTCGACGTCCTCGTCCGTCGAGACGGAGATCAGAGCGTCGAGATCCTCGTTGGGGAGCTGGTACTTGACGGCGACGCCGGCGGGGAGGCCGGAGAGCTTGGCGAGCTTGGAGACGAGGGAGGAGAAGGTCGTGGATCGGTGGACGGCGACCATACGGGTCTCGCCGCCGACGTAGCGGAGGAGGTTGTCGTGCGGGCGGGGGAGGATCTTGCCGCCGAAGCTGCACATGAAGCGCACGCGCGCGTCCTGCTGAGAGGAAGGCGCGTGGGATTCGGAGCGAGGGGAGGACGCCACGGAGTCGCCAGCGGCGGCCGAGGAGTCGAGGTCCGGTTGGTGGAGGGACGACGACATGGCGATTTCCGGCGGCGGAGGGCGATAGAGGGGAAAGGAGAGAAAAAAGTGGGGGGAGGGGGAAAGGGGTAATTAAAGGAGGAAACGGGGCGCGTGGGATTCAGCGCCGGAGGGGAATATTTGTGAGGATTAGTGCGGGCGAATGATATATTTTTTTTATTATTAAATTAATTTGGGAAGTAATCGGGCAGGCTGGCTTTGATTTGATAGCTAGCTGACTACTGACTAGGGCAGAAGAGTTTGAATTAACATTCCATGTTTTCTCACAAATAATAATATTTCGGGTTTCGGAAATGGTCGAAGCCCAAGCTTTTCTGTGGGCGATGAATCTAGTTAGGGTGCACACGCAGAAGCCGATCTTGATGGAAATTGATTGTCAGTCGCTCATCCAGAAACTCAATCAGGATAGTCCGATCGATATGGAACTGGGGACAGTAGTGGAGGAGATAAGGGAGCTAGGGATGGAGATGGAAGATGCTCGATGAAGGTTTTGGAGGAGAAATGGCAATACAGTTGTCCATGAGATGGCAAGGATAGCTTGTCGATGGGAGGAGACAGAAATGTGGTTTGACAGGCCTCCTGTTTTTGTTACTTTGTCCTTGATGAAGGACTGTAATGGCAATTTACCTAGTTAAATAAAATATGCAGATTTTGGTTTTCAAAAAAAAAATATTTTGGGTTTGGTTTATAATGTCATTTTGATTGTGGTACAGAATAAGTTTTACATTATTAACTACGAAATTAAGATTTTATATATATATATATATATATAAATATTCTTCAAGCTAAAACTCGAAGATAGCGACCTCCAGCTATACAAACACATACATCAATCTCTCTTTTGTTTTTGTGCCGTTGTTTTCAAGCTTTTCGTCGACGAGTGGTGGTGGGTGTTTGGGCGGTGGATATGTACGACTTGGATATATGCTTTTTTCAGGTTTCTCCCTTTGGGTAATCAAGGAGAAAATCCGTGTATGCAGATTTGTGTTGATTTATCATCGGTCACGTTGTGTCACTATGGTCGTGTCATTCTAGGTATGACACATAAGTATTATGTGACGGAATCCAATCCGGTTAGATTATTAGTAAAAATATATGATCAACGATTGATGGGTTCAACTGGTTCTTGACATAGATGTGGTAAAAGTTAAAAACGAATTAGTTTAGACTGAGTCCGTATAAATTTTGAGTTCTACATACGTTTAAGTATAAGGCAACCTTGATTCGTTTGCTATTTAATTCGTTTAGAATCTAAATTAGCATATTATATTTCCGAAACTTTTGTAACCGATCAATCAGTTGATTTGGTTGGACTTAGGTTTAAACTTTCAGGGTCGGATTTTTTTTTTTTTTTGTCTCGAAACAAAGATGAGTCATTTGACAGGCGCAATAATGCTTTAATTGCTTGTGGAATCTTCAAACCAAACTGCTTTGTGATGTTGATTCAGAGTTGCAGCCAAAGGAGAAAGAATAGCTACTTTCCTGTGTTGTTTTTAAATGTATAGACAAAGTTTACCAATCAACTACACATTGTTAAACAATTTTCAATTACATCATCAAAGTAGATGTATCCTTCTTTTCACCTTTAAATATTCTGCTTAATCAAAGCCATTATTGGTAGGTAGGTAGCCCCCAAAAGCCACCATAGTAATAAAGGTTAGTTCCCTTAATCAGAAGTCTAACTACGACTGCAAATCGGGACAGGTCAATTTATATAGGGTATGTGATTAAAAAGAAAATATTAGAAATATTTATGTCAAACAGATTTCGTAAAATGAGTTAGGTTAACACCTCCTCCGATCCAAAACAAATCAAACGAGTGGAATAAAGCGAATCAAATCGAAATTATCATCTCTATCCATCAACTTTCTTTCAGCTAACCTAGTAGGTGATAAAAAATATGGGATTCCAAGGTTTTGAGATTCCGTAAGCACAAGTGCGCACAACCCTCTCCGAGAAATGAACATCCGATCCAGATGAAGATCCCTCGTGGAAGACGACAAGAGAAAGGATAAATAACTGAGTTCTGGAGTTCTGACCACGTCTTCGGCCGACATCCACGTGCCGACCTGTGATTGGGTGCTGCAACGTGGACGACAGTCACCAAGGTGTTTGTCCAGGCTGGCATGCAGAATCTGCTAGTGTTACATTAGATCTTGGAGGTTGCTGTATGACAGACCAATCTTATAACAGAGAAAACCTCGTGGTCCTTTGCTGGCAGCTGTCACCTGAGAAACTCCCTCCCTCCTTTCGTGCTCTGCTGCTGTCATGTGACGACTTGGTCAATGGCACCTTACGATCTTCCCTCTGCAGTTCTTCTTCCCTTTTTCAGAATGAGTAATTGGGCATGGCTCCAGAAATCTCACTTTGTTGACTACAAGTTAAAAAGAATTTTCACTTTTTTTTTTGTTTTTGTTTCTACAGAGATTCTGTAACACGTTAGATGAATCCCATATCGACAAAACACGAGAGAGATCCATGGTTCATAAGTAAGAAACCGGCCTTAACTGAGAAAGACGCGTTTCAGGGTGAAATGGAAGAGTTCTTGTGAGAACTCCGAAGTTAAACGTGCTCAATGTGGAGTACAGCAAAGGATGAGTGACCTTATGGGAAGTCACCTTGAATTGCAACCCCAAATCGAAATTCGTGAGGATCGAGACCCAAAACGGACAATATCTTTTGCCCGGAAAAAAGTTCGAGATGTTACAGATCTCTAACA